CTAAAATAAATTTATTGGTAGAGAATGTATCTCCGATAGCCATACAAATGGGAATTACCATAAATGCAAAAGCCATTGTTACTAATACAAAGGGCAAATACGGTGGAAAATATTCAGCCATAATATAATCACTCCAAAATGGATTGAAAAAATTTTGTTGGACCATTAAGCGTAATAACTGAATGATAACAAAAACTGTAAGACCTGTTAGAAAAATATTACGTCTGATTCGTTTGTCATGCCAATTCAATTTCCCGAGCCACATTCCGACAAGAAAATAGGAAAACCAGGGGAATATTGCATTCCATCCATTGTATAAAGTACTTCTTAGAAATCCAGTTGGTGTCCAAAAATCTGTGTATTTGAATGTAGAAAAATCCCAACCGGTATCAATTGGAATAATGCACAATAGAATATGAAAAACGAATAGTGTTGAAATAGCAGCAACTAAATAATAGCGCTTCGGTGCGAATAGAAGAAATGCTGCAAGGTGCATGTAGCCACCATAAAAATGCAAAATATCGCCAGACCACCAATTGTAAAGTAAAAGTCCTGATGCGAATAAGAACAAAGAACGTTTCAGAATTATAGATTTTAATTTCGCCTTTTCTTCTTTACTGTAGATATTTTTATTTGTCATTAACGACAGCCCCATTCCAGCACAAATAATAAAAATTGCTGTTGAGTTTCCTGTAAAAATATTAAGAAAGTGTCCCACAGCATCAGTGGGTGAGATAATAGAGCCGAAACTAAAATTAAAATTTACAATAAACATCCCAAAAATGGCGTATGCCCTTGCTAAATCAAATCCTATTATTCGTGGTTGCATTTTTAGTCGTTCATTGTCGCTGAGTTTAGTCTGCCAGCGTTGCAGACAAAGGATAGAAAACTCCAACCAAAGCCATTTTCCTATGACACTGATTGCTGAAGAGTTCAACCGTCCAACGTGAAGTTAAAATAAAATACGCAAACGCGCCACAACGTTCAGACGGCCCGGAGGGGCGACATTAATTTAAACAGCCTTTGTATACCATAATCCGTAACGTCCGGCAGACGCCACACCGTGTGTTATAGGTAGGTAGCCTTTATCATTTTTATTCTTTCGAAAAGGTCTGGTATGAATTCTTCGTCCGTGGTGGCTCGTTCCTCATAAAATTTTATCGCTTCAGCGAAAATTATGTCAATACTTAATTCAAGAGATTTTAATACTTCTGTCCAAAATATCAGTCGCTCTTGATCGGTATGGCATGGACCGTCTACACCGTTTTGAAATGTCCGTGGGTTTATTACCAATAAATCATGCTCATCTAGTCCAAGAGATTTTG